CCATGTCCTTTCATCCAGGATAATTCAATACTGTCATTGATCCTGGTAATGAGCGGGTATTCCAAGCAGTCGCTCGGTAATGTCCCTTTGTCCGGAGGTTCCTCCTTCCATCGGATAATCAAAGATCCATGCTTTGTCAACGGGACTCCTCTGCGCCGTTGACTGACAACCTCTGTGCGTTTCCTCACTTCGCCGCGCCCTATCTGCCTAGGGAGAGCCTGAAGTGTTCTACTAAAAGGATTAGTCGCAGTCAGGTTGGATCCTCTTTCTCCTCCGTCTACAGATTCTTGAAAAATCTGTTACAAATCTCCTCTTAAAACGAGGGATATCTTCACTCATCGTGATCCCACGAAGTGAGTGCCACTTACCACTAACAATTTCTCTGAAGAGTGTCCATTTGTTGCCTCTTCGGTGCATTCTGTCTTTACCTTGCCAAATTGTCAGGGTGGAATTGTCTTTAACAAAGATCAGTCCAGAGTCAGAGCACGAAATCAAGTCAGGGTATACAGTCAAATCAGTAAAAAACTCAGGGTTTCCTGTAGACTGTAAGGTGGGATTTCTTCGCAATGAAGTTTCCACCACCAGCTGAGATACCCCTGTCACTTCCTTCGAAGCAAAGAGTACTACAAGACCAGAATGTTGGGGTTCCCTACTATTCATGGCTTGTTCTGCTTCAGGGTCCTTCATCAGAAGTATCCCTGTCGCCCCAGCTGTACAGGGCAGCAGAGACAAGTTGTCTCCCTGCTCACGAAAAGTATTTTCTTCTTCGATAATGGCAAACACTTCTGTCTGTCCATTATCGACGTGCACAGGCCTAGCAGAATTGTCCTGTTTATGTCGAGTCTCTAAGATCGTCAAGACGTCCAGAGAACTCTCCTCCTCATCTGCTATTCTCACCTTGGTCTGGCTTTCATATGCACAGTCCAGTGAAAGCAAATCAGGAGGTGTGTTGCCGCCATCGCAGTCAACTCCTTTTGGTGTAAAGTCAGAACTAACACATTCCATTAGGCATGCGGCCGCATCCAAGGAAATAGGGGACACAGGTTCAGCGTTATTCCCTACATCAGTCTGCTTTAATTCCTCTTCTTGCATGAAGGGACCAAAGGGGATATGGGAGTTGGGTAAGTCTTTGCCCTCGTCCTCATTAATGTCTGGTGTGACAGTCGAACCGCTATGTCTACGGTTACAACCGTTATCACGCTTGTCACTACTGTCAGGTTCGCTCTCATTTATCTCGTCTGAGGTAATGGGAGTAAGGGGTTCCAGCAATGTAGATCTGGTCCCTTTAGAAGATTTCTGCTTCTTGTTCCATCTTTTCCTTTTAGGCTTAAGAATGGAAGTTAAGGGGTCCAGCAATGTAGATCTGGTTATCCCTAAAGAAGAGTTCTCCTTGTTGCCTCTTTTCTCTGTAGGAATAAGAGGTGTGAGATACTGTCCTCCGGTTTTTATGTTTTCTTCCTTAGCTGTTGAGTTTGGCCAAGGAGTGCACACCTCAATGGTTAGATAGTGGGCCCCCACCATATCTGCTTGAGTTTCAGCCTGAGGTAATGGTTTTTCCTCGCATATACTCGCAGTTTCCTCAACGCTAATGTTTTCTGCTTGCTGTTTTATCCTATCTTTTTCTGCCCTCTCAAGTAGCAGTTTTCGATGAATTTCTTCACTCTTACGCCGCATCCTTTCAGCAAATCCTTCCTGAATACACTCTATCTCTCTTTCTAATTCTTCTCTTATAAGCTGTATGTCTCTTTCATACTCTACTTTCCTTAGCTGTTCCTCTCTTTCATACTCTTCTTTCCTAAGCTGTTCCTGCCTATTATATTCTTCTAGCTCCAACTGGCGCTTTTTCTCTGCAGCATTACGGGCAACCATATAATCAAAAGTATCCATCTGGCATTTAATATATGTTTCTAACTGTGCCCCTACTCTACCCTCAGCTATCCCGAATTTTCTTACATCTTTTTGGTACTCGGTACGTAAGTCCATTCTCTATCTATCAGGTCTATCCAGAAATAAATATGATACTCCCTCGAGTCAGGATAAGAAGGATATGTCAGAGCAAAGTACAGTGAACTTGGCACCAGAGGAGACTATGACAGCCGCACAAAGATGTATATGATGCAAAGCAGCCTACCAGATTAACAGCCTATAGAATACTATAGCAGCAAAAGGATAAACCTATAAATGATCAAAGCGATGTTACACTCAGTCACTAATTATTAATCTCAATGATATGATGTCAGCATGTAATATGTTCTACAATCTATATCAAATGAAATATGCAAGCAACAACAAAAAAAATCATCAATTCATCAACTCTAACTTAGCACTATAGATTACACATTGATCAATGTTCATGAAATGTTCAATGATAGACAGTTAACTCATATGATTTCATCAATTAAATACTTTTACAGTTATTATAATTTAATCTTCCCAGTTACCAATTACTAAGTATGATTTTAGTCTAAGAACTGGACGAAGAGTTAAAATGAAATCTATGAAATTAAACTTTTTATTCGTTAGTCTAGGGTCTGCCGGGTTTGATCGCTGGCGGGACGCCACTTGTGTCAGGTTTTAATTCTAGAGAGCGACACAATTGTTACGTGATGTTATAAACCCCGAGACGAGATACCCAATTGTCGCTCGATGTTATAAATTCCCAGACGAGATCTCCAATTGTCGCTTGATGTTATAAAATCCCGGACGAGATCCGCAATTGTCGGTGGCCCACGTGGGTAAATACACTGAAATAGTGAGGGTGTGGGTTTAATCCTTAACAATGCCCACCCACGTGAGAAACTGGACTATTATCTAAGCTATGTTGATCCTAGACAGTCCTGGATAGCCAAGAAAACAGCGAGTGGCTCGTTCCATGAAATGAAAGTTGCTGTACTTGTATCCACAGGAGAAGGAGAAGGGATAGATAGATATCTGGATACACCCACTGTGATATAATCCAGGTGCTCATTTAACCCCTGCGACTGGTCTCCTTTCCTGGCATTACTTAAAAGCCCCCATCAAGTGATTTAAATATTTGTTAGCTGAAGTAAACTAATATGCACAAAGACACTTGAACCTAAGTACACAATTTACTCAAACTCTGTGTAACAACATCAAAAAGATTTATTTAATAAATCGAAATTAAAATAAAATGAACTTGTTTAGGCTAGTAGAGTTGGGATGATGTTATAGATGACATTAAAGTTGTACATAACTTAGCTCATCAGGACAGTTCTCGGCTTGAGACCCTGCCTATCTTTTCCAGTTTGTCGTCCTCACTGCTTTCTGCAGGTCGTTACACTCGACGGTCGGCAAATAATGGATGCCTACTAGTCCCTGCCCAATGTGGGAACTGGAGAATGAAGAAACAAGCGCATATTTGTAGTATCTGCTCTAGATGTACACTAAGCATGTATATTATACTAACATCAAGCATGTTTATTTAAATAAAACATTTCATCTCTCCCTCATGCTCACATTCACTCCTGTCCAATTTGGAAGGGCTTATGTCTCACATTCCAACTGTTACATCTTCTGCCTTCCTCTACACGTCCTGTAATGATAGTCAAGTCTTCTACGTCAGGTGCCATCTCTCGTACAGACTCAAAATGACAATCAGTCAGACAGAACCAGTTCTGGAATCTATGCTTGGAACAATCGACGCGCCCAGAATGCTAACAATAGTTCTGGGGCGAATCAAATAACAAATCTCGTGGATTTACTCTCCGGGATCAATCTCCGCATTAGCCTCCCGAGAGTTAAACACATTTCAGTGTGTTAGCTGTATGTAATACAGATTCACATTAACCACACGTGAAAAGATTGCCAAAGTTATCTTCACGCTTGTGATTTCAAAAACATGATAGTTCATTAAATTTCAATGGCAACAACAACATTTAGGTTTTACAACATTGAAACACATGTGCCCGAAAAACATTCATGACACTATCAAATAGGAAATAAAGCAATGTGACAGTGCCCTACGAGAATGAAGAAATGTCCGCCTAGGAGTACTACAAAGTGATGAAGACACACACTTGAGCAAAAAGACAGATCTCTATCATAAAATATAGATGTGAACCTAATTTCGATCTTACCTGGAAAAATGAAACCACGATGCCAAAAGTTCTGTCTCAAGCTTAGGTTAAGCCCAACAGATGGCATGTGCTAGACAGGATCTCATTTACCAGACCTATAGTTCACCCCTTTATAACTTTTATCAAGCTCCTCCTACATTACGCCTAAAATCATTCTCATTAAGGGATATCACAGCTCCTCCCTTGTGGGTGTATATTCGCTGTCAGTCAGTGACTGTACAACAATTGTTTGAATTCCCACGCTAGGATCTCCTGGTCAATTCATCTGTCCCAGAGCAAATAGGACAAGTCACACCTCCGGCCTACTCACAATAAATCACCTGCCATCACAATAAAATCAGACGGTGTCAATTCTTCTGCCAACACTTTCCGCTCACTGTGTCAATAGTGACCGTCGGACCTGCCGTCGAGTTAGGTAACCTCAGGGGGAATTAAACACAATTAGCCGGAGTTAGCTGCTCCTAAAAGTCTGGCTAGGAGATAAAATATCTGACACCAACAGATGGTGTGCAAATCTCCAGTCAGTAAGTCTGCTTGGTCAGTCTTATCTCTGTACCTTAACACTTAACGTCTGGAAAAAGTTTTAGTGTGTGATATCGCCAACATCCCAGGTGTGGAGTTCTTTTTATTATTAAAGCGTCAGTAATTAGCATATCGTACATTACTGTGAACAAAATGAACAGCATCAGTCCTAGCAGCAACTAAACTGATATAGACAGAAACATATAAGAATAAGTCAGACAGCACAGACAGCTGGTGTGCCTCGGTCATCTTATAAAAGATGGAAAGAAGATCAATTTTTGATTCAGCTAAATATGCCAACCTAATAATGCAATAAAAAATTGTTTTTGTTAAAGTATAATATTATTAGTAATAATTTACTGACTGTTTTGTGTGTTTCAGCCCCTTGCTATTTATACTTCTGCCCATTTGGAGCCAGCTGTCACGTGAACGAGACAACCAAGACCCCTGTGTGTGTCTGTGAGCAGAGATGTAGCCAGATATTCGCTCCAGTGTGTGGCAGCGACGGGGTCACCTATACCAACCTGTGCATGCTGGACAGAGCCATGTGCATTCACAACAAGAACATCAGAATCGTGTCGCAGGCACAGTGTGGTAAGTGTCACCTCAAGGACTATTTGTAATCGGGGACAGATCAAAGAAAGACCACCATAAAGTCTGACGTAAAGCTTTACAGATCTCGGCTCCTTATCCACTCTGTTAAAGACAACCAACCAATCCCGTCTTTTGTATCTAGTTGAATATATAGCTGTGTTTTTAACTATCAAATTGTATCCTTGCATTAGTTGAGCTGAGAAGCCTATATTATAATTTTGCTGCTGCTGTTACCGAAGTTAACAACTGTGTAGGGCGTGTTTTGCGTTAAACAAACACAGCACACACTTCTAATGTCATGAATTAATCAAGTAACAGAAAGTATTGTGAACGGCACTCATAGAAAGAAGTAGAAAGATAGAAGAACACACTAGACAACATAAAAATCGAAAGCTATAATTTTTTATGTTGTCTAGTGTGTTCTTCTATCTTTCTACTTCTTTCTATGAGTGCCGTTCACAATACTTTCTGTTACTTGATTAATTCATAATATTTAACGGCTTCAAATGGTTCCCCCCTCTGTTTATTTATAGGAATGACGTATACACACCGGAACCTACCAATCAAATACCTTTCTTAAATGTTTGTGTATTCTAGACAGGGCAATAAGGTCTACTGTGTACGTAAATTGTTGCTGTGATTGTTATTTGACATTTGCCTCGTTAATATAAATTTCTGTAACCTATGGTGCCATTTCAATGGGTTGAAATGAATTCTGTCCGTATTCCATAGTCGTGGATTTCAAGCAGTACGATAGACATGGCCAATGAGACACCTTTTTTTGGGGGTGCCGAGTTGACCATGTATCTTAGTGCACTTGTATTCATGGCGAGGCGCAGACGCCGTCTGGAGGTGACAGGTTCAATTCCCGGCACGGTAACTATAGCTTTCGATTTTTATGTTGTCTAGTGTGTTCTTCTATCTTTCTACTTCTTTCTATGAGTGCCGTTCACAATACTTTTTGTTACTTGATTAATTCATAATATTTAACGGCTTCAAATGGTTCCCCCCTCTGTTTTTTATAGGAATGACTTCTAATGTCGCTAGTGTTGTACAGATGCTGATCAGCATGCACTTATGTGCTCTCAATCTGAAAATTATCATGTTCCGTCTTTATAGTGACCCTGTGAAGTCTGTTTCTGGATGTTCTGAAGTAGCGTTCCTTAAGTCTTTTGTGTTCAGGGCCTGAGCTGAACACTCGATTGGTGTTAATTATATATTTATATGTTGTGTTTGTTGTCGCAGGTGTTGTCTTCAGTATTATTATTGCAATATATAGGTGTTGTATATATTACACACACACCAACATGTGTGTGTGTGCATATATATATATATATATATATATATATATATATATATATATATATATATATATATATATATATATATATATATATATATATGTATGTATACTTATATATAATAAGATTTTTTAAATATTGCAAACATTGAACTTAAAACAATTGTAAGAATAACAAATTATCATTGCCAAATTAAAGATAGCCTTTATTGCAAAATGTGATCTCATTTGTCTAGTCGCAGCTTGCGTAATTTTGGTAAAATTGGGGGAGGATGGGGGGGGGGGGGGCACATAATTCTGTATTTTTACAAAAAGGGTCTGTCAGTGACTTAAAATCAGTCTCATTGATCACAGCATTCGATGATATTATAACATAACTATTGTCTAGAATTGTTTTACTTCAGGTAATAGATTAAAGTGAAGTTCAAAATCTGTTCTTGAATTTAAAGAAAATGAAAATAATACCCACAGATAAAACTGGCTGTCACCCAAAAATAACAATAAATGATGAAGAAATTAAAAATGTCACAAACTTTGAATATCTAGGCTCTATAATAAACAATAATGGAGACTGTTCGACAGAAATTAAAAGAAGGATGGCCATAGCAATGCAAAGATTGAACAGCCCCAAAAATCTATGGTTAAGCAGCAGCAAGGAGATACAAATTAGAATTTTGAGAGCATGCATCTTCCCTGTGGCTACATACGGATGTGAGTCGTGGACTATCTCTCAGTCCTTTAAAAGAGAATAGGGGCTTTTGAGCTGAAATGCTATAGAAGACTATCTTGGACAAAGAAGATGAGAAATATTGACATCTTAAAAGATCTGAACATCAAGGAAGATTGGCTAATAAACAGCATCCTTTCTCGAAAGCTGAAATATTTTGGTCATATCAAGCGCCACGACGGATTGGAAAAAATTATAGCAGAAGGCATGGTACCAGGAAGTAGGGGCAGAGGCCGACCGACACGAAGATGGGCACAGGATATAAGTGACTCCTTGAGTGTGAAAGTTCATGAGGCGGGAGAACTGGCAAGAGACCGAGTTTCTTTCAGGCAGACTGTTATGAGAGCGACGTTCTGCAAAGGACCTGCTACATGATGATGATGAATAGATTTTTAGATCTGTGTTCATTTAAATATTTTGGTCCGCTGTACACGGATATATGTGTCAACGAGTTTATATTGATTGGAACCTTTCCGTCTTTCCAGACAATATATATATATATATATATATATATATATATATATGTGTGTGTGTGTGTGTGTGTGTGTGTGTGTGTTGTTGTTGTTGTTGTTGTTGGTGTTGCTATTGTTGTTCTTTTATTATATCTTGATGAATTAGTATATTATGTGTGTAAATATGGTCGGTGTATTTATTTGTTCACATAGATTAATTCATATCATTCTAGATTTTTAGATTAATTCATTTCGTTAATCACTTATTTTCTTTGTTTTTTAAGCACTATTTTTGATGGTTTTGTTGTTTTTGGCCGCACAGGTACTCGTATATTTTTCATTATTTGCAGGAACGGTCTGTGTTGTAATTGTATTTCATCTTTTATTTCCCAACATTTACCACAGTTTGCTCCCCGTATAACAAGGGAAATGATCCCATTTCGTCCGACTCTGTCCTGTATTACTTCCCTTCTACAGTGCTTAGCGAGTACAAACAAAATTAAAATGTGCTCTGGACTTTATTTAGGTCCATAAATCGATGGCATTCTGAGTCCAATAGTCATTTATTTATGTAAAAAAAAGTGTGCTGCAGCTGAATTAGACAAATTACTGTATGAAACGTTAAAAAGTTAAACTGTCTGTAACAAGTTTTTTTTTTTTTTTTTTTAAAGCGTTTGAATTGTATATATCTGTATACATTCTTCTCATATTTTATTCCGTATTCTTATAATATTTTGATCAGTTATATTTACTAGGACTCGCATAAAGGCGGCTAGTTAAGGGTTTGTGAAAATTTGACAACTTGGGCCGAGATGCGCAGATATCACAGTCTGGCTGTAAATTACAGTGTAATACGTCACACGCGTTTTCAAGAGCGAATGAAAACGTTATAACGAAACGTATGACTGCCGTTTTGTTATCTCAGTGATATGATCTTGACCAGCGCCGCTGTTTAGTATATACGTTTAGAATAAGTCTAGCACAAGCTTAGTGAACATTGAAGCAGTTGATATCTGGTGGCTTTCAATTACCGTTTACTGAGGGGGAAATATGTATATATATATACACACTCACACACACACACACATAATTTAATATTTAGTTTCAATCCTATGACTGTTAAGTTGGCTACTCCCAACAGTTCAGTACCATTTCCTTGTAGGTGTAGACTTGTTATGATATTCCGGTGCATATAGTCTGTTTAGTCACTGAGAGACTGGTGTTATGTGCTAGTCACTCTGGGAGACTGGTGTTATGTGCTAGTCACTCTGAGAGACTGGTGTTATGTGCTAGTCACTCTGAGAGACTGGTGTTATGTGCTAGAATCTGAAGCTGGCTGCATTAGCAACAACAACATAAAACTTGCTGAGAAGTGTTGATGTGTTTTGTTCTCCCTGGGTAGACTGTTTACTGCGTCCCATCCAGTAAAGAAAATACCCTGCATAGAGTTGTGACATAAACACATGCAATCAATCAGGTGCAGTCTCTACAATGAGGGTTAGCTGCAATGGACCTCTATTGTCTCTTGTCCTGCCTCTATACTCTCTTAGACTGCCGCCATTCCATCTCTTGATGTTGTCCCACTTGTATCGTTGCCCACCTCTTGTTCTCTTGCCTTCGACATATGGTTTTTAAACGTGTGTCGTCTTTTAATGTGGCCAAAGTATTTCAGTTTTCTCTCTCTCTCTCTCTCTCTCTCTCTCTCTCTCTCTCTCTCTCTCTCTCTCTCTCTCTCTCTCTCTCTCTCTCTCTCTCTCTCTCTCTCTCTCTCTCTCTCTCTCTCTCTCTCTTAAAATTTATGTCAGTAATTCTCTTATCATCTGGAGCCAGTATTGGACTGTTTTTGTTTCCATGAAAAACGGCCTTTTATTCTGTATGCTCACATCTATAGAGTCACATTTTGATTCTCTAGCTGATTGTTCATTGTCCAAGTTTCTGCATCATATAGCGGGATTGACGATTCTCATTTTTTAGTGTTTTGTTGATTTGTCTAACTGTCAGTAACTTGCGCATGCTTTTGAAAACAGTTGTAGCCATTCCTATTATCTTTTTGATTTATGTTTCGCTGCTTCCATCATCGGTCCTGAATAGAAACAACTTGTTATTGTCTCATTATAATTGGGTTCGTTGTTTGAGTGCCGTTTTGATAGTCCTTCCTTTTGGGGCGTATTGGTTCGCCTAACCGTTCCTGATTGGAGCATGGATGCCACCGGTTCATGTGGTGGTTCTGTGGTTTTTGCTGGTTATCAGTTATGCTGTCAAATCTTGTACCAAGGCTGCCTCCCGGTTCACCTCACCGAAGCAAAAGAGCTTGCCACCTTGCGCCCTCAACAAGGCACTTTTCGGGGTCCCACATTTAAATAATGTTGGTGCTTTTATTTTTTCGCATTATACACGTGTACATGCTTTAGCTGTGCCTTTTTTTTTTTTTTAAAGGCTTTATTCTGGTTCTTTTTCACTATCATAATTGTGTTGTCAGGTAAAGTACACACACACACACACACACACACATATACATATA